CTAGGGGACCTGGCTATGGCTGGGGCTTGAGAAGGCAGTGATCAGCGGGATCTGGATAACGCAGGCCCACTCGTTCCAATTTCTATGGAGATTAGTGGATGAATTTTGGACGAGTTCTAGATAAAACTTCTAGAATAGGGGCTGGTTTATTTAAAGGCAAATCTCTCGCCTCTCACACGTCGCTCCATTGGGTCAACACTCCCAGATACCGCTTCTAGATAGTAGCTTGACATTATGAGCCCGGAGCGGTGTTTGAACAGCAAGGCACATTTATCTGGTGTAGCTGCTTGAGCCGGCTGAGTAAATGTACTACTCCTTGCACTTCACAACAAACCTGCTGTCTTGCCAGCTACCGGGATTAAATCGTTGGATCGTGGGAAGCCCACCCATTTGGCGTCCATAGACAGAGTAAGCAGTTCCTATTTTGTGCTTGGTCAGGGTATCATATCCTTAGTTCATATGTACCTATATGAGTTTATGATGCAGCAGCACCGCGCATCGAACGGGGGCTTCTTTAACTTGCCAGACATGCTGATATAAAAGCCTCCAGCTCTGCAGAAAGCAGGCACGCTACCACATATCTATCGTCAGACATGAACTACAAATACGAGCGAGCAATACCAAGAAAAAAAAAATAAATCATCACAGCATTTACCTGCCCAAATCCCGGCCTATGCAGTTGTAACGTGACGTTGACCGGCGTCCTACTTCAACTGGCGGAGAATTTCGGTCAAAAAATCCTCAAAGCTCAGGGTGATGTAGCCGTCGCGATCGTCGTCATATCGCTTGAACACGTCGGTCATGCGCTTGAGGCTGATGCACGCCTGCACGAAGAGGTCGAAGCTCATGACGCCCTCATTGCGCTTGTCGTAGGTGCGGAAGAGAAGTTCGACGAAGCGATCGCTAAGGCGGTAGCGGAAGGCGACCAGCGCGTTGCTGAACTCGTCAAGGCTGATGTTGCCAGATCGGTCCTGGTCGAAACGGTCGAAGAGGGTCCGCCACGAAGCCAGGAATGACCACAACCCGCAAAACTCTTCAAAGCCGATGGTGCCGCTGCGGTCGCTATCAAACATGCGGATCATCATGCGCACCGTCTGTGGGTCGAAGGCCGTCCAGTCGCCGTTGACGAGCGCAGCCGAGAGCTCCTTTTCGGAGAGCTGACCGGTGCCTATTGTACACAGATGAGGGCAATGGGTCAGCAGATTGGTCTGAAAAAAAGGAGGCGCTACGGGCCACGCGACAGCGGATACAACTCGAATGCTCACCATCTTTGTCCACGGCTCTGAAAAGCGGTAGCAATGTAGGATCGGCGGAGCCATCGCGCGGGGATGGGCTCGGCGGAGGCCGTGAGCTTGCCGGCGGGAGGTTGTGGTGGGCCGGTCTGGCCGTGGTGGCAGTAGGGGGTGGGCTCATCCCGTAACGATCGGGCGGCGGAGGCTGTCTTGGAGATAGTCGGCCGCCCGGCTGTTGGGCGGCGTGCCGTTCCGAGTTGCTCCTATGCTCGAGGGGGCGTGGCGGGGGCGGTTTGTTCTCGTATCGCGAGGAGGGCGCCGAGCCAGCAACTGGAGACTTAACACCACCTTTCTGCGGGGAGGGAAAAGGCATATTTAGCTTCCACCATAGTCAGGCAGGGGGGTAAAACCGAAGATGACAGAATGAGGCTCACTTGTTCGGGCTCCGCAAACCTGAGATGCTGTTAGCCGCCAGTTTCTATACAGTAAAGCCACCCGCGGAATTCCCAGCGCGTTGGGACGAACGAAAAGGGCAGAAGCAGAAGAGAAGCAGAAGCGAAGCTGGTCTGCGAGGGTGTCCTCCCCATCAGACTCACCTGGGTAGCTCGTCCGGGTTGTAAGGTCTGTTGTACGCCATGCTCGCAAGCGCTTGTTAGGTGCGACTCGACACGAGATCGTCGCTGTTCGTCCTTCTTAGTGTCCCAGGTCTAGTGTATGTGTCCCGTAGGATGCTGGTATCGGCGAGCCGGTAGAGCAAAGTATTTAAATGCAGGACTGCGAGCTGCAATCTAACCGCTTCCCTGTTGACTCAGCCGCAACTCTGCCTGCAAGACCAAGTCGCAGCGCCTTGCCAGCCACTGAAAGCGGAGAAGGGAACCCGGCAGATCGGGACAAGCGCTAAAAGGATACAGTCGCGTATCTCAAGCGTCTCGGTTCTCCTCGTCTACGCTCTGGATTTCCTGTGGACAACGCCTCGAGGTAAGTACGGTACCTGGTAGGTAGCAAGAAGGGAATCCTCCGAGAGAGTGGGGTTTGCCCAGAATACCTCGTGGAGTAGGAGGGGTCGTGGCTTCTGATAATCAACGTGTGGGTCTACAGAAGTGCAGTTGCCCTGCCCAGATGTTACGCGTAAAGGATAATGACTGTAACGTATGGCACAAAAGGTTGTGGTACGGGCAGCGTGTATTGTATGTATTTCAGGGGTTTTGTGACAGTCTCCCTTCACAGGGGATGATGGTGTCTCTCTTGTTGGGTTTAAGTTTCAGAAGAATCCCTCATCACGTTTGCAAGATGCCCTTATGTGCTGCAGATCTTATTCGTAAACAGTGTAAGGCTTGCCCAAAACTTCCATCCTGTCCGCCAGTCTGCCACGGTATTCAAAGCTGCCATGCAGAATGACTCGGAGTCAGTGATTCCATGTTGCGCTGGGTACAAGTACTGTACAATACATGAGCCACCGTACAGTAACAGATCCGGTAAGGCATAAATCTTTCCCAGCAAGTTGTTAAGGCAGTTGATATCAGATTGTAACACGATGAAGTAAGAGACAGGAAATTTAGGGCATACTTGGCTTAAACAAAACATGAGCTTCACCAAGTACGGTTCCCTACTAGTAGGCCCCGTCCTTCAGGTTAGCTGAGTGATGCGAGACACAGGCCGAAGCACACTCCCGTCATGTCTCCACTAACGACTCCCACTTGCGATGACTTGCAGCGCGGGATCAAGCACTCGAAAAATGTTCGTTTGACCGCAACTTCCTAAAATTGTTAAGTTCCTCTAGGCAAGAATAAAAAGAGAAAACATTTTTCTCTGGCTACCTAATCTCTTGGTCGGGATTCCAGTGCCTCCTTTCCACACTACCCACTGAAGACTGAAGCATTTGGCGTCTGTAGTCGCTCCCAACAAGCGCTTTGTACTGTCCCGGCTGCTCGGGAAAAGGGGAGAACATCAAACTTGGCATTGGGCTCGCTTTGTATGATCGGTGATGCACCCCTAAGGTCAAGCCGCGCGAGCACAAACAGGGGCCACTTGTAGCGTCGGACAACGCCAGAGCGGACCATCATGTCTCTTCAAGGTCCTGCCCCCAAAACAGACGAGTTCTGGTTGTTTGGCTATGGGTAAGTTAAGCTGCTTGACGAGGCCTGCCCAGGACGACAAAGACTAATCATGATTCTGGGCCCGCAGAAGCCTGATCTGGAAACCACCACCACATTTTGGTAGCCCTCTCTGAACCGCCCCTTGACTTGCAGCCCTGCCTCGCTAGGAGACTCGTCTGTTCGGCAGTGCGGTAACTGACCGGGCCAAGACAGGAGAATTCCAGGCTGGGTGACAGGCTATGTCCGGAGGTTCTGGCAAGTATGTTAGCTTACAACTCTGCCATACCCCCAACTCCTTTTCCCAACGAGTTCCCCGTTCCCCGTCCGCCTCAGCTGTTGTTCCTCAGGCTTTCTGGAGCTTCCTCTTTTCGTGCAATGCTCATTCCGGTTCCTCTGCCAACTGCTCGTCATCCCACGTGCTGGTCCCGAAGGAGTGGCCCCCATACTGATCATCTTATAGGCAAGGTACTTCAGTTCTTCTTCCTGGGAAACATTCTCCTCCGAAATTGGACGTCGCGCATCAGGGCTGCTCCCTCAGGGAACCGCATCTCAAGCACGACATCTCCTTTCTGCTTCTCAATGGCCTGCTAACGAGCTCCTTGTTCGACAGCCAAGACCACCGCGGCACTCCGGAAGCCCCGGGGCGCGTTGTAACCCTCATAGAACGATCCTATTGGGAAAAGCTCGCAGACCATCATGATTCGGCGCCGGACAAGGTCTGGGGCGTGGCTTACCGCATCATTCCCGAGTATGTGGCCAAGGTCAAAGAGTACCTCGACATCCGCGAAATAAACGGATACACGATCCACTACACGCCTTTCCACCCAGCCACGGGCATCGACCCGGCTCTCTTGCCGCAACATGGCCCCTTCCTGACGCTTGTCTACATCGGCACACCGGATAACGAGCAATTTGTCGGACCACAAGACCCGCAGAAGCTGGCAGAGCACATCTATCGCTCTGAGGGTCCCAGCGGGCTGAACCGGGACTACCTGCTGGAGCTCGAGAAGGCTCTCAACGTGCTCAGCCCAGAGAGCGGGGATGAACACGTCACGGATCTGGCAAACCGAGTCCGGGCGATTGCGGCTCGCGAAAGGAAGAGGGAGACAGGCATCCAGACTGACAACGCAATCCTGAGTTCGCAGTTTCCTGTTGTTGTCAGTCCGGAACAAGCGCAGCAGCGTCATCATCACGACTTCAGGAGAGGCAGCAGCATAGATGAGCAAGAAGAGACAGAGAAGACTTCGTAAACGAAGTGAAAACAGAACGCGCAATACTCAACGAAAAGAAAGAAGCGGTTACGATTTTTCTCCTCCTACTTTTCCCTTTCCGCCTGGCCAGCAATCAGGTATCCTCACTTTTGATGCCTCCATATTTTCATCACCCTGTCCATCCCATGATTGCGTGCGGATATCGTCGTCCGACGAAGAGCGAGCCCTGCCAATCGAACATCGAGACCCAGCAGTATCCGATTAAATCCCTCATCCATGCCCATGAGCGTGACGTGGAAGAGATATGCCCACATGCTGGCATGCAAAAAATATCTGATGATTTCACCATATCCACCCCTTGACCTCCTACCAGCTATTTAGGGTTCCTCCCCTGAAACTGAACGGCAGAACAGAACTTCCTTCCCAACAGGAAGCGTCTAAAGCAGAGACAAAACAAGGCATAAATGCAGTTTATAAACAACGACAAGGGCCGAGAGTCAAAGGCTAGATAGTGAAATAGCCTAAGCCTTCGAAGGCACGCTCCTAGGCTTGACCTAAGCATGGCCCGGAATTGACGGCAGCAGAAAGAAACAACAATGAGCCGGCTCGGGAGGATAACAGAACAGAGCGCCGAGGGGGTATATTGCGGGCAATCTTCACAGAGCAACAATGTCCCATCGTACATCGTTTTCGACGACGAACTTGGCCAGCAGCGGCATCGATAATTTGAGGCATGTACCCCTCTTCTCGTCTTCCGAAACTCTATTGGGTTGGTGTTCTCGTCTTCGCTGGTGTTGATTCACCGCACCGTGGTTCATCGAAAGCTCGAGCTCATGAACCGCTCGACACCGTTTCCCTCAGTAGCCGCCCGGTCCAGTTCCTTGATTTGGCGGCTGGGGTGGCGCTTGCTGAGAAGGATCCGGGTATCCATACGGATGGGCCCAGGCTGGAAAAGCAGTTAGCAATCCTTGATTTCTGTATACTCTGCTGATTCTTGTCCTATTTACCTTGCGGAGGGACAGCGTATCCGGTCGGGGCCGCCGGCGCATAACCTCGTCCATACGGTTGAGCGTACATATTCGGCGGTAGTCCGTATGCCTGCTGGGGCGCGCCATATGCAATCCCTGGCATCGCGGAACCTGCAACTGGCATGGCAGCGAAACCACCTCCTCGGCCATAGCTCATCGGAGCACCTCCCCCCCGCCCACCGCTCCTTGGACCAGTATCTGAGGCCTTGTCGACGCGGATCTGTCGTCCGTCAAATCTAACAGGCACCTGGTGAGAAATTGGGGCGACGACAAGCGAGCCTATTGCCGCGGCGTGAGGCTTACTCAACGTTATTCATTGCCGAGATGGCTTTCTGGGCATCTTCTTCGTTGGTGTACCGAACGAAGCCGAAACCCCTGCTGCGGCCTGTGTCGCGGTCCTTAACCACAACCTGGCGCACACGTTTGTTAGGGCTCACTTTTCCAACCTTACCCCAGGTGGGCGTGCGAGACATGACAATGAAGGGGATGTGTGGTTACAAAGGTTACTCCAAGTGAAAACGCGCCACAAACATACTGCTTCTTCCACCACTCCAAACTCTTCGAACTTCTGTCTGAGAGTGGTCTCCTCTGTGTGCCATGCGAGGCCACTGCGGTCCGATCAGCTGGACAGTTCCCGTGTGGTTCTGTCAGGCCCTCGAAGCCCCGGTAAGTCTTACCCAATGAATAATTTCGACATTTTACCCAGGTTTGCTTGGTTGCTGCGGGGTCTGTCAGCTTTTCGCCAGGGGAGATTACTCCTGTTTTTGATGTTCCAGGAGAGGAGGGAGCAGGTACTGCGACAATCACGTTTTGTGGTTGTATCCCAGCGAACGAGGCCACTAGGAGGAACTTACTATGGAAGTTCACGAATGGGATCTGTGGTGCGCTCAAGGAGAGGAAGGCGGGGAACTAACAGGACTCCTAGCGCTCGGCGAGATTCAACGGAAAGGGCGGCACTGATTCGCGGCGATGAACCTTCCTCTTAGCCGACGATGGTTTGCGATGTCGTCAGACAGCTGGCTCGATGACTTCAGCCGAAGGAGGGGAATCGTTTTCGATAAAATCGTGACTCTAGATTTCTCCAAGCGAGGCTAGAGAAAGCAGAAGGGGAGGAGGACCGACACTGGTCACGACGCAGTGGGGTGTTAGCAGAGCTCTGTTATGTGCTAAGGGTCAAGGATTCTCCAGAATCTCCCCGTATCAAGCCGGTTGGTTGGTGGAAGAGGGCTCTCGAAAAGGGACGACGGAGAATCGCTGGTATTACCTTAGGTGATGCTACCCACTGATCTTATATGCCAGCAGCGGGGATACCTTGGGAAGGAACCACCAAGTCAACGATTACCATACTTTAGCAGCACCGGATTTCGGGAGCCTGTCTGTCCTGCTTTCCTCTCCAGGTTTCTCGGGCCAGGGTTGATGTTGCCCCGGCCAATGTTTCGACCAGCATGACGATGGCAGCATGGTCAGGCCCAAACAAGCATCAAACAATACCAAAGACACCAAACTACATGATGGGGATGTTGCATGGGGCCTGAAATGCGACGATTGCAAGCTGCCACAGAATCCCGCTACTAGAAAGACTCTGGATACCTCCCTACGGTACGGATACCCTGGACCGCCACGAGACAAGTGGCAGGATTAATCAGCGATTAGACTTCTAGATCCATCTCAAAACTGCTTCCCTAGCCGCATGATTTGCAAGTAACACCCAGGGAAGCCTGCTCCGTCTTCGGGACCTAGTGCAAGTAGGCTCTCCACAGTTACCTTAGGTTCCGTCGTCCTTGCGGTAGCTCACCAGCTGCGAAACGCGTCTTGGCCCTCAACGTACCCATAGATGTCGTTAGCAAGGGACTTGCGCAGCTGTGATCCAGGTTTTTCAGACGATGGCCGCCCCATCCGCTGACCCTGAAGAGACGTCAATGCTGTCAGGGCATTGGCAACGATTTTGCCGGCATTGGCAAATTTACGCCTTAATTATGCGTCGACAATCATAGAAAAATCCACCACCGCGAGAGTCTGGGGCCTCGCTTCCCAAGCCCAGAACAACCTTTCGGGAACGGTGACCGGGAGCGAGCAACGACAGGTCCGAAAACTACTGTCGTCTTCCCCGCAGCCTTGCAAGACCCGCTATCGATAAGACCAAAACGTCCAAATGCAGGCTGCAAATCATATTTCCTAATACATACATACATACCGTACTTACAATACATGCTAACGCTGTGCTTTATGTATGTACCTTACATACAGTACTGTACATATAATACAGTACAAAGTATCCGTACCTAAAAATTGCCTTATGCATCCTCTCGGGAAAGTTCTAACGACAAACATTTAGATTTTAGACCACCTCACTCCTTCCCAATTCTCACAGGACCAACATCCATCTTGCCATGGATCAGACGGCTTTGAGAGGCCTTGGGTATCAGTCCTTAAATTCCAAGAAAACATAGCTACGGGGATCGCCGGGAACAAGACTCCACGCGTAGGCAGGTGCAGGAGGGAGGTGGATAACTGCATGAAACGCAGTCGAAGATCCCACCAAGATGCGAAACCTACAGAGCATTTTGATCAGAACGCAGGACAAGCAGAAGATGAAACTCAGCGGCCCCATGAGCTTTACCGCATTAGGCTTGGACTACCTGAGAGGTTACTTGTGGCTGTCCTTGTTCGGTTTCTTTTGGCAAGAAACGTGTCTCCTGGCTAAAATACCACCTCACCTCTAGGATTCCGGAACGATTCGGATTGAGCCCGTGTTGGCCGATCTGGGAACCCAGCACACGGCGAGTCCAACGAGATGATAAGCACTCTTCGACGATGTAGAAGGCATCGACTCGTTCACCGGTCGCTTTCTAGCCCGCATTTCAGCATCATCATGTGATATAACCCGCAGAGGCTCTTGCGATCCCACAGTTAACCATATTGACAAGATGAATAGAGGTGGTGATGACGCCCGAAGAAGCATGAATGCCCAGAAGAATCTTCGATACCTAGTGCTGAACATGGACCCTGGTGCTGATATGTCAGTTGCGGTACCTCTCGGATCGAGTCGTTTCGGATAGACGTCCAGCAACTCGAACCAGGGATTCCATATGCAAACCGCTCAGCAGGGTCTGCCTGAGGTAAACACATGTCAGTGTTCCGCTGGGCATACGCTACCTAAAATACAGAGATACACTGCATACGAATTGGTATGCACGCTATATGCACACAAATCCTGTAAGGACATAAAGCACACTATCGCGATGAACTCGCTCCGACAAGGGCCAATATCACAATCATGCTGTGGTCAGATGGTAGAGGTTTCGCCTTGCCAGGAGGCGGTGAAAAGGGTGATCGGCGACGGGATCGCAGAGGCGACCTTGACTCCCCGGGCCCATGCTCTGAAGCTTCTACCTATGCTATGGTATAGAGCGTCATACGGCGGGGTAGCTGCTTCAAGGTCCCTTGAGCCAGGCAGAGGAAAACTACCAAACGCGAGACGTAGTCGGTTCCGAACCTGGCATTGACGATGCTGCGTTTGGCTAAACGAGGAGGGCTCCGAGGAGAGCCCAGCATAATGCTTTTTCTCGCTTATACCCATATTCGAAGAGGGGTCATGATGGCGATGGCCTCGAAAGCTGACAGGCTTGACGGCCTTGGCAGGCTTGACGTCGTGGAGCCACAGATCGATACTGCAGGTTGACAGAGGTGGGCAAGGGTAAGACGTCAAACGGCAGATCCACCTCGGCGGCGCATCCCACTGGTTGCTCCCGCTGGCACATCTTGCCGTGCCTGCAGGGTTCGGCTGCGTGGACCAGCGTGGTTCATCTGGATCGCAGAAAGTACACGGTCCGGCGAGTTTTGAAGCTCTCTGTCGGGTCCTCTCGGCAGACAAAGCGGAATACGTACTTCAGGGCACAACCCCCCGTGCTTGGTACCCTTCAGGACCGGCTGAGCTTGAGCGCCGTCAGGAGCTAGAGGCATAATAAGAGATCTGACAAGCCAAGTCTCAACCCTGCGAATGCACACAAAGTTGAGGGTTGCGCACCCCTTTGAGACCTGGTTCCGGAGATGGGTGTTATCAGGGTTATTCTGTCTCGATGTGCTGCCCGGGACTCGTCGATTAGGCTCATTCGGAAGATGAGGTGTCAATACAATGGCGAGAATGGCAAGAATGACATTACCCGTGCGTCGCTTCCATAATTAGCTACACCTAGCTTGGCGTTGACTTCACTTGCGCGATATCCAAGGTATATACTTGTATTGGTACATACCTGCTGGCGGGAAAGGAAGGTCGATCCGCGGCAGGGATGCATCGATAATCGATTACACGGCTCAAGGTCGAGGTGTCAAATGTACGAGGAAACCTGGAAGCCCGAGATCTGCATATGGAGACGGAACCTTCGCCCGACTCTTCCCAAGCTTAGACGTGCCAACGGCACCTTCCGACGTTACAGGGACACCCAGTGGCTGCAAAGGAAGTAATGGAGGCAAGCCCCCTAGGTGCCTTGCCGAGCTTGCCTGCCTCTTGCGTAAAGTGGACTGTCACAGAACCGAATAGCTCCAGGCAGGACGAGACTGGCCAGTAAGGAAAGCACGCACATCGCTGGTCGAAGACGGATTGAGGCCGTCCATGGGTCCTCTGTAGTGCACACTGATATCCTGCTTTTTGCAGGAAAGTCTCGGCACGTCCTATTGACCGTGTCGTTCAGGGAAGAGCTACCCTTCTGGGCATCCGATCTCCACTGGGCCATGGAACCACCGACGTCGCGTCCATCGAGGGCTATCTCCAGACGAAAGTATGACCAAAAACGTAGTGACGACTACCGGCACAACGGAAAACATATGAACGACCGCAAGCGGAGTCCGCATCGCAAAAGATCACATGGGGCCAAGGAGGACGGACTCCCAAGATATCCAGAAACAACGTCAGTTTCTCGCTTCAAGGAGAGGAATGACGAATTCATCCAGTCCTGGCTGCAACAGACACAAGCTCGCCATGCTGGCCTACCCAAGCAGGAAGGCTACGAATCACTACCCCATGGAACGGAGCCGGCTTGCAACAAGCTTGATGCTGACCGACACAGGAAGAGGTCGAGATCGCCAAGTGAAGGCACTTCCCCGTCTCAAACCGAAGCCAGACAAGACCGGGGTCGCTTCGAGAAGCGGGCGCGCCACAAAACTCGTCCAGACAAGTATGACTATAAAGGGCGTCTTAGCCGTACGGTGGCTTCGGATTAGGAACTCCGAGCACAAGGCACGGCGAAAGATGCTGCGAATAAACGGTACCAAGTAGGTAAAGACAGATTGACGGTTAGTAGGCCCAGAATCCTGGAGCGACAAACACATTGGGCTAAGTCATATAACAGAATCGAGACCACCCGCCGGACCCGGACGGGGCCAGCCACGCCCCGGGCCGTCTGCTTAAGCGAGGTACGGACCCGACAGCCAGGGTTGAATGTCGAAGGCTAACAGAACGCAGCGAGAAACCTGACTTCGAAGGCTAAATACACTTCAGCCAAAACGACAACAAAAGGACTGGAATCTCAAGTTTCGCAGTCGAGACTTATAAAGAGCCAGAAGGAAGATAGAGAATTGGAGGAACTCTCTGCTTTCTTTTCGCGGAGAACGCTGGAAAACGAAAGGGCTGGGGACAATGACTTGGAACGTCCCCAACGGCCTCTGCATTCGGCACGCCGTAACAACACATCTAGTCGCAGCCCCGCCACCGACCTTATTTCCTGGCGACCCCCGGATTGCGATTCTTCACATTATTCACGGTCTCACCGAAGCACCGGAGCGAGTAGCAGATATGAGCACAAGCGATACTCACGTCATGTGAGATCTGTTCCGGCGATAGGAAGCCGGAGTTCAGAATATGCTAGTATGAACCGATCAGCAAACAAATGCCGAATTGGCTCGGCATCGCCAATACGTGACCATGACAATATTCCGGCTGGTGATCCCAGAAAACCTGCCAGTGATTCTGCCCCTAGCAGAGTTGCCCTCTCTGATTCGAAGGAATCTGAGGCAGAGTGCCGTAGGAAGCCTCGCGTGAGCCTCCCAAAGGGTCGAAGCGCAGGTACCACTACTAAGAATGCTGGCTCACAAACAGACTTGGTTCTGGGCATTGAGGACCCGCTCTGGAGAGTCCAAAAAGAACAAACAGACAGCGAGCGGAAAGCCCCCAACCTATATTCCGAAAGGGGAACGGGAGACCAGGCAATGTTGTCCTTCCAGGTAAACAGCCAAGAACCCATGGATGGTTTTGTCGGCAGAGGGTTTGAAGATTGCTCCACACTATTGCCAGTGAGCGGGAGCTTCAGAAGGCAGTTTGGCCCGGATGAACCCCGCGACGGATCTGGCGTTACTATGCTGGGATACCAACATGGGGATAGCGCCTTGCCCAGCGTAGGGCAGCGCTTCTTTCAGCATCCGGCCTTCCCTATCGCTCTGTTTACATCCTCCCGGTTGCCAGGTCAACCCGCCAACTTGACATATGACATAACCGACCATTCAGGGGGATCGTGGGATCGTCAGACCTTACAACCAACGGGTCAGCGGGACAATACACGGATAACCGTTTTAGATCAAGGCATCGGGCCTGACGAACCATTCTATGAGGTCGGAGATCCTCACCAAGTTCGACACAAAGCTCCTGTCGAGAGCCTACAAGACTATATTCGCCGGATCGAAGAAGAAGCGACGATGGTTCGGGAGATGACTGGGGAATTTTGGGAGGAACGATCTCATGGGCCCAGCCTGCTGGACGACATAACAGGGAGGCCAAGACCGCTCACCGACATTGACTATGTGGATGGCCACGCGGCGATTTGCCAGCAGGATAGGTTCCGCCTAAATGCTGACATGGCACCTCATCCAGCTCCGGCCGAGACGTCGATTTCATTCTCGAAGGAAGCGGATGACGCTTATCTATGGTCGTTCCCAAGACTAGACCCCAGTTTCACAGAGGTGCAGCGAGGAAGCCCGACGAGATTCCAGTGGCAGAACGACATGTTTTAGGTAGCGGCCGGTTAGGAGAATCATCGTGGCGCGTAAAAGGCAGGTACTGCTCGCCGAGATGTGGTCTGTTTGCCGGGAGTGGGGGCATTGCGAACAAGAATAGTGCTTATTCAGGCTCTTGGTGCCGCCATTTCTGTCTGATGCCATGGACATGCAGGCCACATTTTTCTGCCTTGTCCACTATCATGCGGGCCTTTCCTACTACTGGAGCATCAATCATCTTCCCATCTAGGGTCCAAGCGCCTCGGCCGGCAGCTGACGCCTTTTCGTTGGCAATCAGCAGGCGGACCGCCCACTCGACTTCTGCTTCGTCGGGGCCAAACACACGTTGGACAATTTCTACCTGACTAGGATGAATGCACTCTGCGCAGCGGAAGTCGGTGGCTTTGGTTAGTATCAGGAAGACCGCTTGACATAACACGAAGAAACGGGCGAGCAAGACATGGAGGGAAGGGGTTTAGGAGTCAAAAGAAATGGATGGCGAAGGAAGCCGACTCACGCTTTCCGTTGAACCCCATCTCCCTTCCATTTCGGCACTCGTCCTCAAGCCGGTTGACGCCCTCGGCGCCCCGGAACGAGGTGCAGACGAGGTCAATAGTGCTGGGCAGCTCAAAGGCGCGGGCAGCCGTGGCGATGGCGCTGCGCGCGTACAGGAACTCGCCCAGTCCCGGCGTCCGCGTCAGCGACATGTCCATCGCAAAGTCCTCGGCAGCGAACACCAGCCCGCGGAGGTAGGGCGAAGCGCCGCAGATGGACCGCAGGTCCATGACCGCCCTAGCCGACTCGATCAGCGCGATCAAATTGATTGGCCGGTGGTGGGCAGTGCCGGGAGGAGGAGGAGCAGTAGGGGTGGAATCAGTAGGGGTGGAATCAGTAGGGGTGGAATCAGTAGCGGCAGCGGAAAGGGGGTGTCGGTGCGGTGCTCTGTGGCGGAGCACGTCTGTCACGAAGGACAGGTCCGAGGCGCTGTTCACCTTAGGGACCACAATGGTGTCCAGAGTGGGGAGGGAGGCGAGCGTGGTCAGATCTTCCAGCGCGTGGGGGCTCGAGACGGCGTTTATGCGTACGGATAGCTCGCCTATTGAAGGGGGCTTGGAGGGGAAAGAGGCAAGGTGGTCACGAAGGGAGACGCGAGCAGTGGCCTTCATGGCGGGCGTGACTGAGTCCTCTAGGTCGTAGGTGATGTTGTCGCTGGTGAGGGTGAGCGACTTGGCCAGCATCTTTGGGGACGAGGCAGGGACTGTGTGTAGGCACAGGTTATTATTATGAGTTGAATTCCAGTATGGGAGTTGATGAAATAACGAACCGTAGAGTAACGCCCGTCGAAGGACCGTTGTGGTCGAGGCTGCCATTGTTTGCTGATCGGGTATATTTCACGGCGGAAGACAGTTACTTCCCAAACTGTCTTCGTATATGAACATGAGTGATATGTATTTCGTACAGAGTATTCGGCGGGACAAGCGAATGAGAACTCATTTGACATTGACTCTTATACCATTCACTGTACATATAAGTGCCGAGTGTGGAAACTGGGAGAGGAGCAAGGGGCTATGGTCGGATGCATCATCTGGAGTGGGATTGTACTGTACAGTACATTATAACAGTACAAGTACGATACCAATACATTTTCAGGTATTATACATTACGTACAGTACCTGGTACTTTACACAGCGGGCCACTGTCAATCTGTCAGCTGTTAGCGGCATGTAACGTACTGTACATACAAGGTACTTCGAAATTCCTCAGGGTCTTTTGCCGGTGTAAGTGTTAGGAAACCTACCTCTTGTCGTTTGGTACCTTCTTGGAATCTAGATACCTACACACTGAGCTCGGTAATTACATTGACCGGACAAGATCTAACGGTACCGCCTCATCTCAGAATCGTGATAAGCGTTCAGCGGTGACTTCAGGGGCTCTATTCGGCTGTACTGTATGTACCGAGCGGTATGTACTGTACATACATACGATACTGTGCAAGGCGGGTTAGTGTACTTACAAAGTTACACTCTCTTATTCCTTTGCCGTACCGTAATTATCCGTGCCTCAGGTAAAATACGTACGTACTGTACAGTACATGTAGAATGTGCCCCACAGACGCCCAAGCACTTGCGTCAGCTGGCAGCAACCACATCTGAAGCTCCGGGCCAAGCTCTCTCCTCCACCAACACGCAGACACCACTATCCCACAAAATGGACCAGACACAGCCCGCACCGGGCTCCCTGAGCTGGCGCCTGAGCTCGCACCCGATAACACTCCTTACATTTTTGGGGTTTCGAATCTGTGAGTTGCCTTAGACCCTAAGCCAGTCTGTTGTGTCACCTTGTGGCCCTGGGTTACTAACTAAGATGCTCTCCGACAGCCAGTCTGCTGGTTTACCTCTTTGGCATATTCGTCACGAAAAACTTGTAGGGAGAAACAGAATCCCGGTGAACCTTGAGCGCAGTAGAAGCTCCGCTAACGGACGCGCCAAATCCCGCCGAGGCTACAAGTGTCATGATCTTCATCATCACCATCCTCCTGCTCGCCGCCGACTTTTACTACCTCAAAAACATTGCCGGGCGCCGGCTGGTAGGCCTGAGGTGGTGGAATGAAGTGGACCCTTCGACGGGCGATTCGCGCTGGGTGTTTGAGAGCAGCGAGCCCGGCACAAAGGTGGTCAACCCCACCGACAGCCGCTTCTTCTGGATCGCCATCTACGCGCAGCCCGTCCTCTGGATTGCCCTCTCGCTTGTTGCCATACTTACATTTAACCTTATCTGGTTGCCGCTTGTCGGTGGGTTTGCCCATGCGTCGTTTCCCCCCCCCCCCCCCCCCCCAGCCTAATCTCTACGTGGGAGGACCATGGATGAGCGATCGGCTGGCGCCCCATACTGACTACAAGTGGTTCTACCCCCTAGCTATTGCGCTCGTCTTGACGATTACAAATGGTCTTGCCTTTTCGCGGTGCGACAAGTTTAGCCAGGCGTCGAACATTGCCGGGAGTGCCCTGAGCTCGGGCAATCTTGCAGGCAATCTCGCGAGTAACATGGTAGGGAGGTTCTTTTCGAGATAAAACAATGCTGGCTAGGCAAGGAAGCCATGGGGCAGAGCAGTTCCAAGATGGCGGCCTCTATATATTAGAGGAAGAGGTGGCTGTTTTCGGGTTGCAACTACATCTGGTACGTGTTGGGGTTCGGGCAGGAAGTACTTTGCTAGTCGTTCGTGGTATAATTCAAGTGCACGGATTTGGCGTTTGGGTACGGAGGTCACATCTATATGTTTCGCCAATTTGATCACTTACCATTACACAGTGCCTACTGGCCGGCTTACCAACTATCGGCAAAGAGGTAGATGTGTTATGTTATGCAACGTGTTATCCTGTGGAACGAATGACGGCCCAATGCTATGTGCGGTATCCGCTTCCCAACGCCATGAACCGAGATGATCTCCGCGGTCGTTTCCAAGGGGCGCTTGAATAATCCGTGATGCTGATAGATATGGAGGGGGAAACGATTATAAAAGCATATAACGCCCTTTTCAGCACAGGGACCCCCAAAACAGACGACTCAACGTCTCCCTGCTTGCTCAATGGCAGCATCCAGCTGCCGCTCCTCCTCTTCAAGCCGCCGAATCTCCTCTTCGGTCATGCCCTCCTCGATCAGATGCGCGTATGGTGTCGTCAACGCGCGCGGCGTAGCCCTACCGGGGGTAGGGCTCGGTTTGCTGACGCGCGCCTCATCTGTGTGGGCGACTGAAGCCGCACGCGTGCTGGGCGTTCCCACGACAATTCCGCCGCCACCGCTCAAACGGTCCGAGTACGGGGTTAAGGACCGTGGTTGGTCCTGCAGATGTGAGCGATGCGGTGCTGCTGCTGATCCGGCCGCTACCGCCTCCGGCCCATCTACATGCGCAAGGCCATCCTGGTACGTGGTATTGACACCAGCACCGGCAACGCCGGTAATCCCGTCGTCGGAGTATGGGGAGTGCGGCGACACGTCGGCGTTGCCCTCCTTTTCGGCCATGAGATCCTCGGCGCGGTTGTCGGAGCGGTATGAGCCCACGGGGAGCAAATCCTTCTGTTGCCGGCGTCGGCGCAACAGGAACCAGACGAGCGCAAAGATGGCACCCAGACCGGCGACGCCGCAGCCGACGGCTATGCCAATCACGGCAGCCGATGAGAGGCCGCTGGGGGCGGGTATAGAGGCCTGCCCCACTGGCTGCTCGCCGCTTGGGGGCACGCTGGTCTCGATGCTGGGCGGCTGACCACTAGGGGTAGCCGCTGTATGAGGGTCAATCTCGTCCTTGTGCGGGTGGTCATCGGCATACATATCTCTCTGGCTGTCATTCATTGCACCAAAGGTGATATCGTTGGTGAAGGTGAAGAGCCTGCTATAGCTCTTGCCACCGCTACCCCATTCGGCTTCCAAGTACAGCGGGATGCTCATAAAATCGATGATATTGCCGGTAAGCGTGAGCTGAGAAAAGGATACGTTGTTTGATTCCACTGCCCCGGCGCGCAATCAGCATTGCGTCTGCAGACCATGACGGAGAGTAACGATACCTACCCGCAAGGTTCCCGGACACGGGGCTGGCCTGTCGCGGCCGGTGACTGCCGCCGGATTGTTCACCTTTGGGGTCCGGTGTGCCAATCGGAGAAGGGGAACCCCCAGTGGTCGGACTGACGCCGGTGGAAGTGCTTATGGTGCTGGTACTGGCACCACCGGTAATGTCCGAAGTACCGCTATCGTCGGTTCTGACACCACTTGCAATGACACTCTCACTGTTGGCGAATTCGGCCCAAAGGTTGATTTTGTTGACCACGACGCCCGGCGCATTCCATGTAAATGTTTTCGAGTTTAACTGTCCGAGGCGGAAGATGGCCAGACGTGTATTCCCATCAAAATCGCCTTCGAACCCGGATATGAAGGTGACATTATCTCCTCCTCCTCCTTTGGCGGTCCCCAGCAGCAGCGCAGTCGCCGTCAACCAACATCTCCCTGCCAATATCCGCATTGCAGTCGGTTGGCAGCTAGATTCGAACCCTAATCATCGCACGGTCGAGTGAACCCTTGTATGTCTGTCGCTCGGCCCAAGCAAGTCCGTGGGCTTCCTGGATACAAAGTCGCCGCCGTCAATTAATGTAAACCTGTGATCGAAAATGACAGACGGAAGAAAGTGTATAAGTCGGGGTGCGAAGAGACAAGGCTCCTGTGTCAGCACGACCTGGCCACCCAAGCCAAGTGGGCGCTGAGCTGAAGGGCAGATTACACCGATTGGCACCGGGCCCCCAAGTAGGTGGCCACTGTGCCACTGTTTGCTCAAGGGCATTCAAGGGCATCGAGGCGCAGCTTCACCAACCAGAAGCCATGCTTCAAAAGACGCGCCATCCCGAAAGAGGCACAAGACGTCTCGAGAACTGCACGATTTCTGCATGGGGCTCCTCACTCCGATTCCTGAGCACCCCACGTTCTTTGTACGTGATTGGAAACCTGAGCGAAGCAGGCGTCGGGTGTTGCAGTGATGTGACTGCGTCTTTGACTGACATGATAATTTTTGTGGCAGCAAGGCATACGGATAGACAGAAAATAATCGGAAATGCGTGGGGCATGATTGCAATTCATACTCGCCAAATCCGCCTCCCATCATTCTCTTGCTCTGAATTATACACAACTGCCCTGTAGTGTACTGTACATGCCAGTCAAACGGCTCTCGGGCGTGCTGTTGTAAGTTGTGTTCGGTATTTCCCTTTCCTCCGGACAGTTCTTTATTACCTACACTAGTAGCTACCTAGGCCGACCTAGGTAGTTGGGCTGACTCCAGTCACTCCACAAAACCCCGAACGCCGCGACCCTAATATAGCAACATATGCAACTCGACCTCCATTACTACCCAGCCCAGTGATAGATTGAGGGTCAAACGTCTTCTTCCCCCCGACTGCATACTTATATAACAAAGGGAAAAGAGAAAGCAGGCTCGGCAATCGCGAGATCATGATTGCACTGGTTTCCTTGCAAGAACACCGCGCAAATTGAAAGAAAAAGGGAAGCGGGGCTGGGCTGTCACCCGACTGCACCACCGGTAGGCTGTGCTGTTTTTGGCACCGATGGGCTGTCAATTATCGAATAGTTTGAGAGTGGCTGACCGCACGAAGTACCGGTGCTGGGCTGACTGTCTTGGCACCTCCGGGGCCATTCCCATCCTTCTCCCGATGACTTCGATTTACCCAAGCGATGCCGGCGCTGTACCCGACGGTGCTATAGCATGTGCCTATTGCGGCTCATGCTTGACGTTGCCATGAGATGAGCAAGTAGAAGAATCACCAGGTAGCTGAGTCGTAACCTGTCGGTAAGCTAGCCTGAAATTTGCATGCAGCCCTGCACAACCCCCGAAAGTATGACATCCAGATTGGCGGAGTCGCTGCGAAACCGCATCACTTTCGCTTGCTCGTCTGCTCCTTGAGCAGAAGGTCCCGCATTGCTGCTCTTGCATTGCGGCTGCCGCCCAGCTTCGGACCCCGAAGAATCTCTTCTTTCTTCTTGACGGCGGGCTTGGCGTTCTGCGGCCGGATCCGCCTCCGGTTCCTCTGTGCCATGGCTTCCATGAACTCCCGCCGAAACTCTTCGGCGATGCGGTCATCGGCGGCAACGTCCTCTCCATCTAAACCGTCAAGACTGGCGGGCTTCTCGGGCTGCATGTCGTAGACCTCGACTAGGGATGCATTGTTAGCTATATGTCAAAACAACCGAGCAGTGGCTACTCACGTCTGTTCTCGCTCAAAAACTCTTCGACCAGCTGGTCACGCTTAATATCATCGCTTCCGCGGCGGTTTCTTGATCTTGGGGCGGGACGAGCCTTCTTTGGCCGTGAATTGCTCTCCTCTAGCTCCTCTTCGTCGATCTGGCCTTGCAGTCTCCTTCGCGCCCGTTCGGTCATCTCAATGTTCCGCGCACGGGCCTCATCGCCGAGATCAATCTCTAGAAGTCGGCCTTGTAAGACCCGCTGGGAGTCGGCCTGCCCGCCGGCAACTGTTGAGCTCGAGCCTAGCCAAGCATCGCCTGCGGAAGCAGAGGCATTCTCGGCCGTCCGTTGCTCCTTTCCCGAAGATCCCGCGGCGAGCCGCTTCCGTCTAGCCAACTCGGATTCTACGTATTCCTCCCTTGCTTGATCAGCCGCCGTTCGCTCTAGCCTATCCGTTTCCGGCCCTCGTGCTCTGGTGTGCTACTCACATATGCTTGTTGACTAGCTCGCCGACCAACCCGGTCTGTGGCGCGAAGCGCTTGGAGATGCCGCCGAGAACCGCTGTCTCGGGCCCGGGTTGGGTTCCTGCTTCTGCGCCATCATGAAGAACCAAGCTTCGTTCCGTGATCTCGTCGTTTACTGCCGTCTTGTCGTCGGAGGTCGTTCCTTCGGGGCGAAAGCCGACGCCACCATGCTTGTGTCTCCTGGCATTTCGTAATCTTATCACCTCGGCGACGGAGAGACCTTCCTCGTCCTCATTTTGTAGGGCAGGCGTGACAGGTGCGCTGTTCGTGGCAGGAGGCGCATTGTTAGTGGCGATCTCGCTGTTGAGAATCGGTTGTTCTGGCCCTTCCGGCCGCTGACGGTATGGTTTCCTCTTCTTCCCTAAACGGAAGACTACCTGCGGTGGTGGCTCGGATTCGGCGTTCATGGTTGCCATGAGGCTGTCGATGTTTGCGAATCTCGTGGTCGAAACAGTTGGTTGAGTGGCGCAGTTGGTTGTGGTTGGATGTGGCCGGTGGGGTGCATGGGCTCACCGTCAGACCAACCCTAACCCTCTAGGTAAAGACCGTCTTGAATCCTGATGACCTTCGTGACATTCACTGTATGTCCTAAGCTAAGCACGCTAAGGTACTGTATCAACTGAAGAACGAATACCTACCGTACATCTCTTCCATTGGCAGTAAGATGATCTTGTGGGCACCACTCTACCTACCGCATGGTTTGTTGTTACAGTGTATTGCATAAGGTTTGCTTCAACAAAACGACCATAATTCGAAGGTCCATGCATCTTGCGAGCTTGCTTATTGACTCTGACGGAACAATTACCAGCGCCATCAATGATCAATCACTGATTCGCTATATCACTACTTACCCTCGAACTGGAGTCGATCTGAGGAGTGAATAGCATGAATAAGGTTCTCCCGACCATACATGTTGGCCACCGATTGATAACATTGTCTTATTTTAGTGTATTTAGACCAAGCTCACGATTGTCGGATCTGCCCGGCCGGCCGGCCGATTGATCGACCGGGTTCCTCAGCCAGCCCGGCCGCTTGAACGCCTCCACCGATCGGCCCGGCCGATCCTCACCCACCGAACCGCTTCTTTACCTTCTGGACAATAGAAATAGCGGGAGTTGGTAACAGAGTGGCTTAGACGGTTGGTCACATTTCTGGTGTCATGTCCCGGAAGGTGTGAGTAAAGTTAGAAAATTTCAGCATCCGGATGCAACTTGAGCTGCTGCCCCCGTTTGCAGGGTCGGACATGCCCATGGATTCTGCTTGAGCCAGCTTCGCTCTGCTGTGGCCGGCTCCCATATACATTGGTCTTGCTCCCACTATCCCAGAGGATCACAGAGTGAGATCAAGTGTAGTCCCGTTCAGCTCACAGCTACCTTGCGCGGCCTTGCTACGGGTCATGCGCTTCAATTAGTAGCTTAGCCATGCATGAACGACGTGTCGCCTGGCCCACCTGTTCCATGGGACAAGTGTCTGTCAGGAAGTCGATGAACTGCATGTAGGTCTGGCGGCTCTAGCCCGCTTGGATGAACCTTACCTCCATCTTCCCATCGTCTCGGGATCTACACTGCGTGCCAGGTCGATGTTCTCACAGGTCCAATAAGTCGAGTTCTATGAGGCGAGGAACACAAAATCTAGTGAACTGCACATCGTGAGTTACGAAATGAAGCAACGTTTATTGCCATTCCTCATATCATCGGGGTAAAACAACGAAGACGGCCTAACAAAATATGTAAGGGGGTGTCTGCACAACGCCGCCAGTGCCCACTCGTTTTCCCAAGCCATACCCCTAATGTTGCCTGCCCCGAAAAGAAAAAGACAGCAGGTTGGGGGGCTTGGTCATCTACCCCCTATCCCTTTGGTGTGCAGAAAAACATCGCAGCTCCCTTGATTGCCCCAAGTGCCACCCAGCAAGATTGAGAAACCTCCCATATGTGTCATCAGAAAACAGCCCTCAGTCTCCCTTGCTGATACCAGGTCCGCATTGGTCAAATCCTCAGATACGGGGATTTGCCAAGCACGCCCGCCTCGCAATTCCGGAGCTCAACAGCATGCGGCAAAATATGTACAGAGAATATTGGTTGTGTCATGCGCTTGCACAGCAGGACAAAACGCCGTGTTACCGTCAAATCCAATCCACTGTCGGGCTCGAGTCGGGCTGAGGGAAAAAATCGGCAAGCATGCCTTGAAGCTCGCTAAGGTACTCTTCAGCGCTGAACTTCAGCAACCCCTTGGCGAGCATTAGCTCTTCCTCTGTGTCATTCACGTGCTCCTTCACACCGTACTCCTCGGCGATCTCCGACACCTGCGCAAGCTCAGGCCCGAATGGGTGCTCAGACTGTGGATAGTCTTTTCCGCGGTGCTGAACCTGCGGAGGCGTCGGGGCTTCTATCGATGAAACGGCAGGAGGCAAGCCAATGGGCCCAGAGATCTTGAACCTATGCTGGAAGGGTGTCGAGCTATGGGACGTGGCTGCTGTGCTCGTGCTACTCGATGAAGACCTTGAGAATGTGAGGCTTGCCTTAGTTGAAACGGTGCGCTGAGACTGCCCCGACATTCCAGAGGCGGAACGTTGCCGGACTAGGGTTTTTGGTGGCGTCTTGGAGTGCGACGCGGCGCGCTGAGGGATAACAGGTGCCTCGGAGCGCGGAGCGGGCTCGGTTGTCTGCGCAGGTGCGGTGAAATAGCTCGGAAGATGAGTCGGCTCCGGCGACAGTATCCTCTTCGAAGGCAGTGACCGCTTTGGAGACGATTCAATGTCGGGACTGGTAGGTGGAGTCGTGCCACTGGTGTGCGCGCTGTCTGACATGTCGTCATCAGACCTGTGAGAGGATCCCGTTGAAGATGCCGACTTTGGGATGATATCTGGCGCGCTGTATGACAACATGTTGGTGGTGTGGATGAGCTCAACTGGGCTCGAAATCTTGTGGCGAATCGAACCGACCGACCCATTTCTCATGTTGCCGCGTTGCGGGTTTTGCTCTATCCCAGAGGTTTGAAGACTCTGTTTGACCCGCCGGGTCGTAAACGCCCTGGCAATCGACATTTTGTTGAATCCTGGCCCACGGTAAATCTCGTTGACAAAGCGACAATGAGTGAAAAGGCGAACTTGGACGCACACCTGACGCCTCGACAGGAAATGTCCAGGCGGAAGTGTTCCACCGTATGGAGGATTCGCCTCTGCACTCAAGCGTGGAGATTTGAGGGCGGAGGATGCGAGGTGCCAAATGCTGTGCTTAACACCAGAATTGGAAGGACAAGCTTAAGAGACTGGACTTGTTCCTGAACTGGTGAAAACCCGTTAGAAATGTGACTGTGAGTCCTGTGATTTAAGATGGGTGTGATGTTGCGCTGGGTGACCTCGTGCACGTTTCCATACACACCTCTTGAAAGGTTATACCCCAAATTCAGTTCTGGGGCAAACTGAAAGAAATCGCCTGGATGGCTCTGACACTATGGTCGCAATGTTGCTCAAACAGTTGCTGGGACTGTCGCAGTAAAAGTGCACCAGGAACCCAGATGAAAGAAAGGTCTGGCCCAACTGGGTACCTTTGTAGATCGAATCGAACGAAAATAATCGAATGGAAAGAAAGAAAGTCGCGAATGGAAATGGCTGTTGGCGGGATTTCAAATAACAGCCGGCGATGGTCTGAAATTTGATGGCGCTTCGGAGCCAGTCCGTATCAACGGTCCTGAATGCCGCTGGTATAAGTTTGCGCAAGCCTTTTGGGAGAGGGAATGTATTGATCGTGGGGCGATCGCGGTCAGGGAGGCGGTTGGGACACGTCAAGCATCAAGACTAAAGGAGTGTAATCGCTTCTAGAGTCCAAATGAGCCCGCGATGAGGAACTCTGAGAAGTTCAATCAGGAATGTTGAAGGAGAGTCGTCGCGACGCAAGGGGTCGGCCGTGGGGGGAGGGAAAGGTAGTGGCTAGCCCGTGGGGAGGAGAAACATTAAAGGGTTTAGGTTGAGGGTTTGGCGAAAGCCACAACCTTACGTTAACTGTTGTGGTGAGAGCAGGCCAAGTCAGATAGGTCACCGGTACCTTTCAGCTCGCATAAAGTGATATACTGGAGATTGTATCGGTACTAGTCCAACTTTTGCAGCTCTCCATGGCTTGCCCTCTCCATTGCCTTACACTGCTGGCGCTGTAACCTGCGGATCTGTTCCCCCGACCATTCGGTCAGGGCCTTACAAGTTACAACTGAATTTGGGATGTGGCGATCGCAACGAAGACCCGCAATCGAAGGAGGCGTGTTCAATAATCCTTGCTCGGAGGGCCAGGTTGACTTTATCCTGCCATTCTGGTTGGCCTTTCACTCGAGCCGTCCAACCAGGCCAATCAGAAGAACACCAGCGCCTTCAATGATCGCAAAGCAGTGCACACCATCCGTACGGTACTTTTATATGTTTAAGCAGAATGGACGGCAATTGAGCGTCATACTTATATACAAGCTCTCCGTTTTCGTGTAGTTGATTTGAATTATGGAGATCATGGCAGTTATTTGTGCTTATGCTGTATTATCAACAGAATCGGACGGCAGTTCTGAGTTCTGACAGCGTTCATTTTTCTGTGGGGCATGCGTCGGGCGCCAAAGAACCGGGGTTTGTGGCTGCTGCATGTCAGTGATCGCCACCTTCCCTCATAGGCTGGATTGGCTGACCATGGCAATGGTGGGCCGCGTGTGAGAGGCGTTGTTCCTGCGTTCCTGCATCTGGGCACTTCTGCACTTTTCCAATGACACGGCAAACCTCATCACCCTTGTGGATGACCCGAACGAGGTTCCACGTTTCCAACAGCACGAACGGGATCTATATTAAGGTAACTCATATTCAAATCCAAGCAGAAAGAGATGGAGGACATACGCTTCCGGTTTCGAGCACCCTCGGCACCCTGATGATTGAGGACGACTCGCTCAGGTAGATTAACCGGGGCGCTCGACGTTTCTCACTCTCCCACGTCATCTGATAGGTTGTCCACACGGTGCTGTGGGTGCAGTGACAAGGGCTGGTGACCAATCGCCCCACCCTCCCTGATTCTGCGTTTTCCATTGTTCCTGTAGTTGAAACGGAGCTAAAAATTCTTCTTCGAACTGATTGGTCGGGTGTTCTGTCCTGGCGGTTGCTTCTGGAAATGCGTAAAAACCATCTGTGCTGAAACCCCCTTCGAAGAACTGCCATCAGGGCGCGTCGGCAAGTCTTGTCTCTTCACCGTGCGCGCGCGGCTGATTCTGAAAACCGGCTTTGACTGTCAAGGAGCCGATCACTTCGTGGGGATCTTACCCGAGAGCGTTTCTGGGTCCGTGGATTTGCGCTAACCTTTAGCTCCGGTGGATTTGTTGGCGTTCGGCATGCGGGACCCATGCCCGGGCCATGCCATGCGGAGGTGCCCCGGCCGCGCCTCTACTGTGTAAGGAAAGCCACCTCCGGCCTCCTAACTTGAACCAAGAGCAGAATCGTTGTCATTTCGGTGACGCGGGAATCAAGGTAATCAGATTTTGCGACTATCTCAGAGCCTCCTGAACAGCATGCACAATAATACAATGCATGACTATGGAGCACATATGGGAATTCAAGGATCGTTTCTCTCAAACCGTATGGCTCCGTGTTGTTGGAGAAAGAACCTCCGTCCATCTGGTTCTGTGGGCGGATCGGAACAAAAACTCCACATTTGTCAATCAGTCAATGCCGGCATGAAACCATAGATCCCGGGAAAGTTAGGGTGATGCATGAATTGGCTCCGTCTTTCCCATTCTTACGTATGTAAATTCTTACGTATGTAACTATGCGCTCAACCCAAGGAGGTTGGGTGCTTTGTGGCTCGTGTGGCATTCAAACCTTGTTGATGTTCGTATCGACCGAGCAAGAAGCTTGATCAAGACTTGGTTTGGAACTCTACCGCCATATTCGAGCCATACACAAACATTTTCATGAAGGAGGACGTACATGCACAGAAGAGGAAGCGCTATGCCATACCATGCAAAAGGTGCTTCCCGAGGCCTTGCATTCGAGTCGGCCCCATCTCAGACACCGGGGCTGCGCGAGAGAGCGATCAAAATCATCGTGGCCGGTTACGATCAGAATGGCTTTTCAGTTACACGGTTTCATGCGATTGATAGGGCTTGGACAGGCCATTAGTCCTCATCTTCATCCATGGAATCCCCGCCTGATCCGACTCCATTCTCGCCTTCCTCGCCCTCCTCTTCCTCTTCCTCACTGCTGCTGCTGCTCTCGTCGTCGTCCACGCCAACCAAACGATCCTCCACCTCGCCCTCTCCAACAGGCTTGTTGGGAATTTTTTGAGCAAAAGCTTTCCGGACGCCGGGATTTGTGCTCGTATCCCATATAGACACAGTCCCCTTGCTCCCGGCAACTGCAAGTCTAAAGGCAACTTCGGGATCAGGGGCAAAGGTGGTAGAAAACACCTTGCCAACGTCAAAGTCGCGTGAGACCACAAGTGAGGGCCCTTCTGAGCTGATATTCCACAGCTTGACGGTCCTGTCCGTTGACCCGGTTGCCATGAAGCCTGGGACCACTGGGTTGAGATCGAACGAAGATACCGACTCATCGTGCGCCTGCAGCTTCCAGACTGACTTGCCCGCCGAGGGATCTTTGGACACGTTTCGGACGTCAAAGTGGTGGATAATGCCGCGCTCGGTCGAGACGTAGAAAAGATTGGGGTCATGAGGGTCCCACCTCACGTTCTCGATATCGCTCTCCACGCCCACCCTCATAGGCTGCTCACCGGGGGCGCGCATGTCGGCGATGGCAGCTGTGCGGTCATAGCTGCCGCTGAGCAGCACCGTTGACTCGACTGAATGCCAGGCCAGTGAGCAGACCTTGTCGGTGTGATAACTGTACGACTTCGCGCACTTGGCCGTGTGGAGATCCCATAGCTTAACCGTCTTGTCTGCCGATGCTGATGCCAACAAATTGCGGTGTTTCCTGTTGGCAGCGAGGGCCAACACGGCGTCGACGTGGTATTCGTCGTTTGCCTTCTTCGACTTCTTCTTCTTCTTCTTTTTCTTCTTGTCCTCCTCGGCGTTCCCCCCTTGGCCAAGAATAGCATTTGGATACATGCAGTCCACGGTGTCAAGGTCCCAGATTTCAATATCCGGGTCGAAGGTGCCGATTGCGACGAAGTTTGCAGTCGAATCTTTTGGAACATCCGGCTTTGCGACGGGGATATCCAACCACTCAACGCATAGGGGTATCGCGGGAAGCATAATGTCGTGGTGGACGTAGAGATTGTCGGCCTCATCCTCGTACACATAAATCTCCAGATGCGCGAGCTCATCCTCAACCTTGGCGGCTAATAGTAAGTTATCGGTCGCGAGAATTTGCAATTCCTCCCGCTCCTCTTCATCGTCTTCAGGATCATCTTTGAGCGTGATGTAGGGGTCGTCCTCGTTAGACTCATAGTAAGCCAGTGACTTGACGTTCCCAAACATGCCCATGGTTTGGCCCTCGCCCTGGTCCCCATCGTCATCGTCATAATGTTCAAGATCGTATTCCTTTAGGTCGTCGTCGATCTCGATGCTGTCGAGGAAAGTCAGTGGTGGGCTCTAGGATTGGTTTGTGACAGGGCCACGGACTCTGAGGCATCGTCAGCTTTTTCGGCGGCAGAGGGCTCATCCTTTTTTGAAGCATCCTTTGTCCCGGTCTCTGCTTTTTCCTCTTGCGCCTCCTCTAGATCTTCTTTGGCATCGTCAAGTTGAAGCTTCGCCAAAGCCGCGATGCGCTCGAATTCTTCCTCGTCGAAATTGTACTTTGTCGGGAAGGGTGCGGCAAACCCCCTGGGCACCCAGGTGGTTGTCGTAATCATGGACGACATCCTAAGATTACGGGCGCGCCTTTCAAGAGATGTAGGTATATACCTTCTGAGCAGAACCGCAGCAGTTTATTTTACAACTGCCGTAGATTTGGAAGATTTCGTCGTAACTTTTTAGTGGGACCACAGCGGGGCTTATCTTATCCGGGGCTTAACTGGAGCTTGTGGCCCAGGGTGAGGTGTGTAACGTCGGTACGAAGTATCCGTATCAATGGAACATTACGCACCCTGTGTAACGTACAATACGCTTCAGCACATCTACCTAGCAGGGATGCCCTAACTGCCGTGGTTTGCTTGAACCACGGATCTTAAACCCGTCGTGTCAGCCAGAGTCAACACAAAAATCGCCTGACGAGTTCCTTGGCGACACAAATCGGGGTGTTTGGTTCTGGCAAAGCGGCCTGTATATGTAATAGCGCCTCATTATGGTCCGCGACTACGAAGACGACCGCTCCAGCAAGCGAAGGAAGCTTGACTTCAACCCGCTTCGCTCCGACGATAGATTCGACAATCTCCCATCGCGCAGCCATAGTCGGAGCAATGGCGCTGGCACTTTTAAATCCCAAAGTGCAACTCCCCGCGCTGGGTCCCGTCTCTCTGGCGCCGCAACGCCGCGTCAGCGTGAGTTCGACGGCCCGGAGGCGGGAGTGGACGACCAGGATGCCGTGAATGCGCTGGATCGCGACTGGTATGGCGGTGATGATGACCTCGGCGGACATACGTTTGGCGACGAGACGCATAACCCATTCGGTGATGCCGGCTGGGAGGCGCAGGAGAGGGAGGCTGCACTGATGGAGAAAAGGATTGGCCAGGTCTCGCGAGGGATGAGCGCCCGCCAGATACAGAAGCAGAAGGATGTCGATGCCTGGGAGACCAACCGGATGCTCACTTCGGGCGTCGCGCAGCGGAGAGATATGGGCCATGATTTTGAGGATGACCAGGAGGGCACGCGCGTGCATCTCCTGGTCCACGATCTGCGCCCGCCTTTCCTGGACGGACGGACAGTCTTCACCAAGCAGCTCGACCCGGTCCCCGCGGTCCGGGACCCCTCGAGTGACATGGCCGTCTTCAGCAGAAAGGGCAGCAAGGTCGTCAGGGAACGGAGACAGCAGCGCGAGCGCGCGCGACAAACCCAGGAAGCTACAAGTATGGCAGGAACTGCGCTAGGTAATCTCATGGGCATCAAGGAAACCGACACGGACAGCGCACTTCCAATCGCCAGCGAGGATTCTTCCAAGGCCCAGAACTCCAACAAGTTCAGCGAGCATCTGAAAAAGTCCGAAGGCGCAAGCACTTTTAGTCAAAGCAAGACCCTGAGAGAGCAACGCGAATTTCTTCCCGCGTTTGCTGTACGAGAAGACTTGCTGCGCGTCATCCGAGACAACCAAGTGGTCATTGTGATTGGAGAGACAGGCTCTGGTAAGACGACGCAGCTCACCCAATTCTTGTACGAGGACGGCTACGGCGAGAGAGGCATGATCGGCTGCACACAACCTCGGAGAGTCGCCGCAATGAGTGTCGCTAAGCGTGTCGCCGAGGAAATGGAGGTGAAGCTCGGCAGCACCGTCGGCTACGCCATCCGTTTCGAGGACTGCACCAGCAAGGACACGGTCATCAAGTACATGACAGATGGCGTGTTACTTCGGGAATCCCTAAACGAGCCAGACCTGGATAGGTACTCGTGCGTTATCATGGATGAGGCGCACGAAAGAGCCCTCAACACGGATGTCTTGATGGGACTGTTTAAGAAGATCTTGCAGAGACGGCGCGATCTAAAGCTGATTGTGACGTCTGCCACGATGAACTCTAAGCGCTTCTCCGACTTTTATGGGGGCGCGCCCGAGTTCACCATCCCCGGGCGGACATTCCCGGTAGATATCATGTTCCACCGGTCACCCGTGGAGGATTATGTCGACCAAGCTGTGCAACAGGTGCTAGCTATCCACGTGGGGAAGCCGGCTGGTGATATTCTTGTGTTCATGACGGGCCAAGAAGACATTGAGGTAACGTGCGAACTGGTTAGGGAGCGGCTTGACGCACTCAACGACCCGCCCAAACTGAGCATACTCCCAATCTACAGTCAGATGCCTGCGGATTTGCAGGCCAAGATCTTTGACCGGGCGCCTCCAGGGGTTCGGAAATGCATCGTGGCGACAAACATTGCCGAGACCAGCTTGACAGTCGACGGCATCATGTATGTGGTGGACGCCGGGTACTCCAAGCTCAAGGTCTACAACCCACGAATGGGTATGGATACCCTCCAGATCACGCCCATCTCGCAAGCAAACGCGGCCCAGCGCGCCGGCCGCGCAGGGCGAACTGGACCCGGCCAGGCGTACCGTCTCTTTACCGAAAAAGCGTTCCGGGACGAGATGTACATCCAGACAATTCCCGAAATCCAGAGGACCAACTTGAGCAATACGGTCCTCCTCCTCAAATCGCTGGGCGTCAAGGACCTGCTCGACTTTGACTTTATGGATCCGCCGCCACAGGACACCATTACGACGTCGCTATTCGACTTGTGGGCCCTGGGCGCTCTCGACAACCTCGGCGAGCTCACGGAACTCGGGCGCAAGATGAACGCCTTTCCCATGGACCCGTCGCTGGCCAAGCTCCTGATCATGTCGGAAGAATACGGCTGCAGCGAGGAGATGGTCACCATCGTCTCAATGCTCTCGGTCCCCAATGTCTTTTACAGGCCCAAGGAGCGGCAAGAAGAGTCGGATGCGGCTCGCGAAAAGTTCTTCGTCCCCGAGTCGGACCATCTCACGTATCTGCACGTCTACACGCAGTGGAAGGCCAACGGCTACAGCGACGGCTGGTGCGTCCGGCACTTTTTGCATTCCAAGTCCCTGCGGCGGGCCAAGGAGGTGCGCGACCAGCTGCTCGACATCATGAAGATGCAGCAGATGGAGATGGTCAGCTGCGGCACCGACTGGGACGTGATACGCAAGTGCATCTGCTCGGGCTACTACCACCAGGCGGCCAAGGTCAAGGGCATCGGCGAGTACATCAACCTGCGCACCAGCGTGACGGTGCAGCTGCACCCGACCAGCGCCCTCTACGGGCTGGGGTTCCTGCCGGACTATGTCGTGTACCACGAGCTGATCCTGACGTCCAAGGAGTACATGTCGACCGTGACCTCGGTGGACCCCCACTGGCTGGCCGACCTGGGAGGCGTGTTCTATTCGATCAAGGAGAAGGGCTACTCGGCGCGGGAGAAGCGCATCACCGAGACCGAGTTCAATCGGAAGATGGAGATTGAGGCGCAGATGGCGGCAGACAAGAAGCGGCAGGAGGACCAGCTGCACGCAGAAGAGGAGCTCAAGCTGGTCCGGAAAACAGGACCGTCCAAGGATAATAAAAAGATGGTTACCTCGGGGGCCGTGGTTAAGCCAGCACGGAAGCGGGCAGGCCGTGGATTTTAATAGAAGACTTAGATGCCAGGAGTGCAGAGGGTAGCAGATCTCGCGATCCACGTTGGAAAAAAGTCAAGGCAAATTATCTATATATGCGTCTATCGCATTTTTTGAGAGGGCGGGCCCGAGCCCATGTTGAATGATTGCCCCCTTTACCCATGCTCTAACTCCGTTGAAACTGAATGACAAACGCTGACTCCCGAGGCGCCGTCCTGTCCCCCCGTCGTGGGCAGTATGCAGTGATTATGCAAGAAGTTTTGGCGGAACGAAATAGGCCTTTTGATGCCGGTCATGCATTCGACCGTTTACTCACTCCTCCTGTGCCCATCTCCTCTCCCGTAGCGGCATCTCCTTGCCGGAACGCTGCCTTTCACCAGTCACCTCAGCCCGCCAAGCATAGTACTCGCCCAGCCTGGTCTCCGCGTATGACGCGTAATCAAAGTCAATCTCGGAGATGGTCGCCTGGATCAAAGCCCAGATGCCCCAGTAGAAGCCCGGCACGCCCCTGAAATGATCTACTTCCTCGAACAGCTTCTCGGCCTCGACGGCCTCATCGACGCCAGCGGACGCGCCGGGCTTCTTCTTCTCCAGGAGGGCAAAGTATGTGTGTATATACTCGTTGATGAACTCGCGCCGCTGGGAGCGCGTGGGGAGGACACTGAAGTCGCAGTCGAAACCGCCCCATTCGGCAAAGTGGTTCGCAATGTCAAAGGCCGCGGGCGAGGGAGTGGCGTACTCGTAGTCGATGAAGGTCACCGTCTCGGCCGTCTTATTATTGTCTCCATTCACAGAGTGTGCGCTGCTCTTTGGCAGCACAATCACGTTACCGCTGAGGAGGTCGCAGTGCGCAAAGACGAGCTAGGAGGTTTCATGTATGTCAGTCATGCTTGGGGAGCCGCAGCTTCTCTCGTATTCTCTCAGCGTTCCCGGGGCCGGACTACTCACTCCATTCTCGCCGAGGCTCGGCCGCTGACTCAGCTCCGAGACGAGGGTGGTCAGCTCCGTCTGCAGGGCAGCTTGCCGGGCCCGCTGAGCCTCGGTCTCGGTCGGCAGAGCAAAGATCCACTTTTGCATCACCGTCCAGACGTTGGGCGGCGGCTTCCCCGGGGCGACGCCGTCCAGAGCCCGCTGGAATTCGGCGTCAGCGAACGAGGCAAGGCCGCCGTCAGCTCTTGAGTTTTTGCGGCTGTGGCCGGTCCGTCCCGGTATGCAGGGGACAACAGCGTGCCACTGGGCCAAGCGCTGTGCCACAGCCTTGTATATGGCGGGCTTGCGCAGGTCTTCCGGGTGGGTAACGGTGCCCTGGATAAAGCGATACATCATGCCGTTTTCGAAGCGCGCAAGAAGCTCCGGGGCCAGCCCATGCCGCATCAGCAGCTCATGGTTCTGCGTTTCGCGGAGTCGATCAATGATGACGTCGGTGCCGTTGCCGTAGGCCCGCAACAGGATGGCTTCCCTGTCCACGTCGTCGTTGGAGAGACCGGAGCGCTTGTTGACGGCCTTGAGCAGTGTGTTTGTAATGCCATCAGTAAAGCGCACAAACTCGACCTTCGACCCGGGCTCTTGCCAGTCTGGGCGGATTGCGAACACCAAACGGAGGGCGGATTGCTGGGAATCGGCACTGTCGTAGGAAAGTGGAATGTAGCGGATGTGATGCCCATCCCCGTTTACTCCCCCATTGGGATGGATGCCGTTTTCGCGGCCGACAGCCATAGTAGGTCGGATTGAGAGAGTAAGGAGGAAAAGGATTGTGCTTGCTGGCAAGTTGAACGATGCAAGAGAGCTCCGCTTTGAAGGGTTGAATTAGGCGACACGAGGTATCCAAGTACCGTAACTACCAGGTACCGTAATTATTTCATAACCCCAAACAAAGACAATGAGAGGTCAAACAGAGGAAGCAAGTTGTACAATACCTACAACCTTTTCCCAAATTCCACAGAGAGAGAGACTGTTGGGATGCTCGGTGTGCCTGAGGTGGGTGTCTACCTGGTAGTGTGGGCTTCGGGGCTCACACGATCAATTACCTTGTTGTCCCTTTCAACAAATTCCAGGTGGACCCTCGTCATCGTCTTGGCTAGCACGGCTTCCCCCTGGCCATGATGCCCAGATGATGGACACTGGTCAAAGCGTCTTGCAGAACCCCACATTGATTTCCGTTGGGATCATGGGATGGTCTCCTGCGTCCAGAATCCAGATGGTTTTAGCCTGGTTCCTCCGTACCTTATTCTTCCTTGCGCAAGAAGGCCAGGAATCCATCTCAATCTTCCTGTGGTTTGAAAACGTACTCCGAATCAGGAAAATACACCGTCTCCCACAGCGGCAGAAAAGGGTACTTGTTGGGCCCGAATGGAGGACATGCCAATGCGTGGCGAGTCTGAATGTCTAAGGTACTTACCTAACCCCAGTGTAACATGTCTTCTTAGCAGTCTAGTTAGGTACCTCCCTTGGTGATGGCGCTTCCCGTTCTCCCGGACACGACCAATTTCCTGGGCGTGGCCCTTGTCATCAACCGGTCCCGTGATGGACCTCGATTCGTCTTCCACTATCCACCACATATTCTGCCCGCTCAAGGTTGCCAGCGGAATATTGACTGCGCCGACGACGTCGACGAGGATGATGGTGTCTCCCCGCTCGGCCGTCCCTCGCGCGATCAGCGATTCGAGACAGGCGCCGTCTCTGCTTTGCATGCCGCTGAGCTCGCCCAGTGGAATCATGACGACCACTTCATCACCGAGAGCGGCACCCAGATAGTCCCATGGGAGCATGTTGCCGGCTTTCCGACGAAGGACCTGGAGAACATATTGACTCCGGCCAGAGCCTACCACAAGAGGCTATTTCAGGTGTCCCTGGACCCCATCTATTGTGTTTCATATCCCATCTACGTGCCCGAGAACGGTGTGTGGCGGAAGAAGAAGAAGAAAGACAAGCCGCCCAAGAAGCAACGGCAATCGCAGGGGTCCCAAGGGGATACTGCAACGGCCAGCAAGGACGACGAAGACGGCTTCCCGACCGATGCTGGCGGGTCGGCCAGGAGCAGCGGCGACAAGGTGGCAAACGAGGCCGACCAGGTTGATGTAAGAGACGCGCTAAAGCTTTCGCCCAAGTCGGCAGAGGAAGCCGAGGATAAGGAGGACAAGAAGAGCTCCATGACCATGTTCAACCTGGTCTTCTTCCTCAACCCGAAGAAACACGAGGTCAAAGCTCTCGTCGACATAATGTTTACCCATTTGATCAAAAAGATCAACAAGGCCTACAAGTACTGCCAGCAGCGGAGTGACTTCGTGTGGAAAGAGTCAAAGAGAATCCTGGCGCTCAAGGAGAAGGGCCGAGAAGATAGTCAGTAGCCGCCTTCATTCGCCATTCCGTCTGGCCCTAGCCGCTGACTACTGAGCCAATTTAGAAAGCAAAATGAGTTCCCTCTGGGAGGAGATACTATCGGCCTCGTCCTTGGCTGCGTCTATGCAGGATATCTACGAGGCAGTGTCCCAAAACAGGATTGCCGCCCTGCAGCTAGACACGCTCGAGGGGGCGGTAACCCACTCAGTCCAGATCCCAGTGCCATTCCATGTACCCGACTTGCCCCAGGATGGCGAGGAAGGCCAGCGCGGCCTCTGGCTCACTACTGCCAACTCACTGATGGGTGATGAGGCCGCTGAGACGCCCGGTTTTCTGGACAAGAACTTTGCCCTCCTGCTTATGGTTGATGAGAAACGCGTCATTGCCGAACTGCAGAGTGATCCGGATGAGACGACGCTCGCCATGATTGAGTTTGTACGCCATTGCAAGCCTACCCTCTCGTAAGTGCCTGCTTCTGTCACAGCTCGCCACCATCAGAGATGCTAACATGGCAGCGCAGCTTCTACCAAGTTGGCCAACAGTCCAGCAACGTCCTCACACCAGCACAGGTGCGCAAATTCGCCCAGCACTTCATCTTCTGGAGGCGGGCAATCGCCATACCCCCCCTACATGCTCGAGACATGTACATCGTGAGCCCAAACTGCGACCTGCGCAAGCTACCCCAGGCGACCGCCCAATGGGCGCGCCAATTCCCCATTTCTCCGGCGCTGCCCAACTTCCTCGCAGAGCTGAGCGTCGCCCCGCGCCCCTACAAGTTGCACTGTCCGAGCAAGGCTCACCGCCCGGTCTACATGGCCATGCTTGCCTGGCTAATGCGTGGCGGTTGGGTCACGCAACTCTGCACATTTGCCTACGTCGTCGTATGGCCCGAGATTATATATGAGGTCGAGCACGCGCTCGAGGCCGACGAGATAGCTCGTGCTAAGCTCGCTCAGAGCATGGGCCACGAGCCCAGTAGCTTGGAAAACGACGACGCTGCCATCACCTCAGTTGCAGCGCTCGGCGATCCGGCCGTTGCCGGATTCGGCTCTAATTTCCTTCCTCTCCTCTATGACGGTTCCGACCCGGCGTTGGCAGGTACCTCGGCAGCGCCCCGAGACCTGTCACTCTCCCACTCTCCATCTCTAGGCCGCACATCCCGCTCCGAATCCCGTCATTCCAACACCACCCCCCCCGCCAACAACAACAACAACAACAACAACAACAACAACAACAACAACAACAACAACAACAACAACAACAACAACAACAACAACAACAACAACAACAACAAC